AGCTATCTAGCTAACAACTAAGCTACCTGAGTTTTTGGTCTCTTGTTCGCTAGCCACTTCTGCAGAAACTGCTTGAAAATCAAATTGGCAATCCATGCCCAGCGCTCTAAAGAGCATATTGAGCCTGTCGTTGATGTTCTCAAACTCTTTGCTTCCAACCTTTCGCCTGTAGATCTCAGTGGTTCTGACCAGGCATTTCACGTTGGGGGCGAACAGTTGACAAGTCAGGTTGCTGACCCCCGTAGTTGATTCAAACAAGCTGTTGAGGCAATCTCCTACTGTTGCAGCCTGGTCATAACCTAAAAGTGAAGTAGAATGGGAACCCTGTGTTGTAAAATCTACATGCTGATAACATCGTTGCATTCAGTGTCACCATAGCTATCAATTTTATCAACATTTTAAACACTATCAACATTTTCATCTACAACACCGTCAATGTAACCCCCCCCCCTCCTATTCTCGCTACTCCACTCCCCAGCCTCCTCATCATTATCCTCATCATCGTCCTCCTCATCATCGTTATCATCATCATCATTATTATCATCGTCATCCTTATCATCCTTATCATCATCATCATTATCAACGTCGTCCTCATCATCGTCAGCATCATCATCATCATCATCATCATCATCATCATCATCATCATCATCATCACAATTGTCCTGTGATGTACCTGTAAGCTTAGTGGGTGTGGTTTCCTACCCCATATGATCAATAACTCAGAGATCAAGTCAGAGCTCTTGTCTCGAGCCATCCACGTAAAGACGTGATTCAGATATTTACCGCCTTGTCTTCATTTTGATTTTGTTGTTGTTGTTGCTTCGCCTAAAAATATATGAGCTGCGCAAACTCAAAATTATCTAACCAGGTTACGGTTTCTATTCTGTCTCGTTGAGGACTGCTTCCTTTGTTTGCTTATTATTTGTCCGAAATTCTTTACATTTTTCTTAAAACAAAATCTTTGCTGCCAGCATGTGCCTCTTGCCCCTCGCCCCACTCCAGTTTGTCTTCTTATTATCCACGCCTTGCATGCATCACCATCATCAGTTTACACATCTGCCGTCAAGCGGCATGGGGAGAACAAGTTTGCGATCCACTGCTTGATGGGTTGAAATTTCTATTGTCATTCCCTGTAGACGAAGAAGCTCTTTAATGATTTTCTACCGGACTGCAGACTTGTCAGTCCTTGGTTCTCTTAAGTGCATGTAAAGAAATTATGTATGACAAGCTTTTTGTTGTATGGATCCTTTGGGAGCGAGTGAACAGCGCAGAGGCACAAACAGATAGTTACGAACTGAGGATAATAGCTCTGCGGGGAAACACCAGGCTATCTGGCCGACGCTCAAGACTTAAGGGAGAGGCAAAACGTATATACGGTCAGACAGTTACTGGTACTATGAAAATTAGAAGTCTTCGCTTGCTGCTGAAGATGGGAACAATGCGCCTTTGGGAATTCCAGAGTGCTGTGATGTCGATTCCACATTCTACTGCACGTACAAAGTATACCTGCAGTACATGTTCAGCATTCTGTTATGTCTGTAAACACGGCAATGTTCTAAGTCCCAAATCACAAGCTTCTTCCCACAAATGACCCAGTTGTCCAGCTCGCAGTCAAAATAATTTTTTTACTTTCGGGTTACAGGGATGATTACATTTTCTGTATCAAATAACACTTATCACGGCTAGAAGTGGGGTCCCTCCCTGACGGAGCCGGACTATTTTCAGAAATGACCTTGGCTCCAAGGTCGACCCAGCCTTGAGTGGGTACCGGCTGCAGTCTCGGGAAGTAAAGGCGACCGGCGTGATGCTGACCACATCACCCATCTTGTGCCAATTGGTCTTTAAAAATATAGGTCTAGCCTTATATGCCCTATACGCCTAAAGGCGTGGAAAGGGTCACTTACTTTACTTTACTTACGTCTAGAAGTATAGCTAAAAACCTGGCAACTACAGCCTCAAAGTTAAGTAGAGTATGTGCCGGGCTCTCTAGCGTAGTTGGCTAAACCGGATTGCGCGGTGACCGGGTGACGGACTCCTTGTGGTCCCGGTTTACTACCGGGGGTAGGCAGAAAAGCCACATTTCTCTCAGATTTACGGTATTTACAATGGAATCAAGGGCGAAAGGTTGCGATATCCATAATACCGAGCCTAAGGGTTAACAACTCATGGCTTCTGGATACTAAAACAAACAAACAAACAAACAATCACTACTAGTAGTTTCAAAAAGAGTCTTACGATCAATCTTTAGACCCATCAAAGAGGCAAACAGCGGTGAATGGAAAGTGAGAAGCAAAAACGAAATTCATAATCTGTTTAAATCACCACTGGTAACTGGCATCATGAGAGCTAATAGGCTGAAATGGTTCGAGCATCTTGAAAGAATGTAAGATGACAGAGAAGTAGAAACTGTATACACAAGGGAGATAAATGGTCGTAGACCATGAGGCAGAACAAGTAGACGTTGGAGAGATAATATCCAGACAGACCTGCAAACACTTTGTGTCACCAACTGGAAAGAGAAGGCCAACCAGAGATATGAATGGAGGAGGGTGATATCTGCAGCAATGAACCTTAAGGGCTCGAAATGCAAAAGAAAGAAGAAGAAGAAGCAGTAGTTACAATGTGCTTCAGTTTATAAAACACAGAAATATTTTTTTTTTTTAAATACCCAGTCTCAGCTGATCATATAAAGCAAACTGACTGTCTCTGATATTGTTATTGTCTTGTCTATTTGCACACTTGGCTTGAATAAACAATATCGTTTTCTTCTTTTCCCCTAGTGGTTCTCGGAGCGCCGCTTTCAACTGGTAAGTACTTGTCACTGGTTGTCTCCCTGTTTATTGTCACTCACCTCCTAGCTTCGGAGCCGCGTTGGAACAGTAGTTAGACACTGCCTGCCAGCGTGAACGTCTTGGGCTCAAATCCGCCCCAAACAGTATCAAGTCATTTTTTTTTAATGATTATCTTTGGCCACTAGATCGTTTGAGGTTTGAGGTTTGAACAACAGATCAACATCATGGCACAATGATAGTAACCCATAAGTGCTACATTCTACTTCTAACTCAAGTCTCAGTCCGAAGTAGCTCATCGCAGTGCACGGGCTTCGTAGCATCAGCGAGGATCCTGAAATATTTTTGGTAAATTTTCAACTCTAAATTTTACCCTGGCAGTGCAGCTAGGCTACTCTTTTCGATTTCCAACTGCTGTCACATACCGCTCGTGTCTCGTGCCTGATTTAGGGATTTCTCCTTGTAAACTAACAGCACTCTGAAGTAGAATAATGTTGAGGCGTCGGCTCGTATTGGTCTAAAGGGGATCCAGTGGCCAATATAAGCCCAACCTACTTCAGGAGTAGGGCAACTCAAGTTGTGGCACTGCAGAATATCTAATAATTCTATGCGCAACTTGGCTGGACACCCCCACTACTATAAAAAGATAGCCCCCAGGCTATTATAGTGTACTATCACAGCCATGTTAACACAGATTAAAATTAATAATCACACAAAAATAAAAACTAGACAGTTTGAATAGTGAAACAGGGACACCCAAGTCAGTAATGACAACTTTTGAATGGATGTAATAAATGCAACACATAAATATATATATCATCAAGACAATCTAAGATGTTCAAGGGCCATTAGAGCTTAGGCAGCAAAGTCTACAGAGTACTGCTGAATGAACCAGAGTCAGTTCTTGAGAGTATCAGTGATCATCATCACGACTCGGGGTAGACCTGTAGATAGAGCATTAGCTATATTGTCCCAGATGTACTTCTCTACGGTTGGTGAATGTCACTGCTCTCTTCGGTCCATGAAGATCTGAGCTAACTGATTCATTAGACTGCTTCTCTTCTGGTTACTCTTGCAAACACTGACAGGGATCACTCACTGGAACAAAGTTCTTATGCTGGAACATAGTTCATCTCCTGGAACAGAGTGATTGTACTAGAGCTCAGCAAAGCTCCTGAAGAAGGATCCCTTGAGTGATGACACTGCGTGGCCTGCAACAACTGCCTCTTAGCCACTGGAACTCACACAAGCTCCTGTCATGTTGAAATTGTGGTGATAGTAGGTACTATTGGTGGATATAGGTTGGTTGGACTGTGAATCGTTTGCCTGACCTCCAGGAAGGTATCATCCCAAGCTTAGGAATCCTTCAAAGATTAAACTGGTATTTTGAATGCGCCAAGATTTTATCAGAGAGGTTAAATACTTCTTTACATCTAGGAAGTCTGGCAAAGAATGACCCGCCTGATCTCGCTTGGCGTCTCTAGAAAGGAGTAAAAGGGCTTCCGTGAATTCTGAATATTAATCCAGAAAATATCTATCCCACAGTTGTAAGTTTGAAAATGTAGACTTTTTAAAACAACTAGAGGTTATAGAAATATCTATTCCACCAGATAGAGGTATAAAAAGATATGAGGGACTATATACCCACCGGACGGGTCTAACTAAACAAACAAGTAGAGTATGTTGTTAGTCTATCACAAGTTAAGGTGACAGCTCTTTCCTTTATATGTTAAGAAAATGTGCTTGACTGAGAGTCCGGAGATAATTTGCAACCACAATACAGACCCGGAAGAATCTAACGCAACGGGGACAGGTAATAATGTTGGATGTGACAGGCCTTTAATGCGGATACTTCTAGCCTGTCTTCGCTGCCATTTTTCGGCTATCTTCTGAATAACGGTCCCAAATTATCGAGGCAGAAAATATACCCTAACAGGGCCTCAGTCACGTGTCAGGGACTATACTGCCGCCACAGAATTGCGAACTTCCGGGGACTTATGCCATCGCCGAGAGTATTTCCTCGCCAGGTGTCCCGAACGCCGCTCACGCTGCGTGGATTGGGGCTAAACTAGATGGCTAGGACTCACGAGCAAATAAAATAAAGGCAGCTGCAGGAAATGCGGTAGCTGATTCTTGCGAGTCCCAGCCATCTAGTTTAGCCCTAATCCACGCCGCATGCGCAGCGTGGGGGATACTCTCGGCGATGGCGGAAGTCGCCGGAAGTGCGCAAATCAAGTCACCGGAAGTGCGCAATTGACACATGACTGAGGCCCTGTTAGGGTATATTTTCTGCCTCGATAATTTGGGACCGTTATTCGGAAGATAGCCTATTTTTCTAAACGTCCTGCAAGTCGCTTCGCCTCTTCGGACTAAAAGCGTGACTTGCACAATAAACAGATTTAATATGAGGATGAGGGACTATATACCCACCGGACGGGTCTAACTAAACAAACAAGTAGAGTATGTTGTAAGTCTATCACAAGTGAAGGTGACAGCTCTTTCCTTTATATGTTAAGAAAATGTTGGATGAGTTGCCCAGTGTCGTCGACCTCACACTCTAGGAGATGTGAACCAGCGTCATTGCACAAGGTTATAAACCATAAGTGCTCTGCCACCAGTACGGACAGCTGATAAGACACTGTGTGTCTGTGTCGCAGTCCGCACTCAAATCCTTAGCTACAGCGACGTTCCTTTATTTACCCTAGAGTGTTACCTTGTATCCATTTCCTAGAGACTGGTAAAACTCGGGAAGTGAGTTGCAGCTGGATTTGAAAGCGAGTCTCCTATCGACTGCGCCAACGCTGCCCACTACGTCCAACTTTGTATGGATTTAAATATAAATATTTTTTTCGCATTTCCTTTCTATATCTTTCGTGTTTAGGGCTGTGACTTAATATTGTTGTTTTACATGGTGATAACGGCTTTGATGCGAGGGTTACGTGGTATAGGGTTAGTCAAGATCCCCACGGTTCTGGAGGAACCGGTGAAGAGCCTTGGTCGCGTTTACGATTCGAAGTTATCTGATAAAGCGGAGGTCCGGCGAATATACGAGTCACTGGCTACAGGCCTGCTCGCGATCGAGCGGTGCAGGTTGATCGGGAAGTTCAAGGTATGGTGTCTCCAATTCATGTTGTTTCCAAAGCTCCTCTGGCCGCTGTTAGTCTACGAAGTGACGATGACAGCAATGAAGACGATGGAGAGGAAAATCAACACAGCCTTAAGAATGTGGATTGGTGCACCGCCTTGTCTGACCGACGTGGCTCTGTATTGCAAGCAGGCTAAGCTGGTACTCCCGTTCAAATCGATAACCGAAGAGTTTAAAGTCGGCAAAGTAAGGCTCGCCATGCTCTTGCTCGAGTCTTCAGACCCAAATGTTATCGCTGTCCAGCCCGCTCTAAAGACTGGTCAGAAGTGGAGAGTCCTCGATGCGATAGAATCTGCCCAGAATGCACTAAAATTGAAGGAGGGAATGGGATACACTCAAACCGACCGTCGAGGCCTAGGGCACGGGAAGGTCAATTGGTGGTCCAAAGCCACAGCCAAAGATCTACGAGACATGGTAATACAACAGGTTAGGGACAACGAAAACGAGGTTCGGTCCAGAAAGCAGCCCAGCAGTCGCAGCAGGGCCATTGGGTCAGCCTGGAGAGCGCATTGCCAAGAGTACTCACATGGGGTGAGATCTGGCGAATGACCCCGCTGCGACTGAGCTTTGTCGTTCGTTCGGCGTACGACGTATTACCGTCCAGTGTTTACATGGTTAAGTGGTCTGCGGCTAACGATCCGACTTGCCCGCTGTGCAAAGCGAAGCAGACGCTTGAGCACGTCCTGTCCGCATGCAGGAAAGCCCTAGGTCAAGGCCGATATACTTTGCGACACAACAAGGTGCTAAAAGAGTTAGCAGCCGTTGTTGACCAGGCTAGGATGCGGGCCAACGCTAGGGCCAGTCCTACCATCGTCCCCATACGTTTCCTCAAGGCTGGGCAAATTTACCAAGGTAAAATCAACAAAAACGCATTCGCTCCATCTATGCTAGACTCTGCGAGGGACTGGTTACTGGCGGTTGATCTGCCAGGCCATGAAAGGTACCCTGAGTTATTCCGGAAGACCGGCTTGCCACCTGGCATAGCTCTCCACTCTGCGGAGAAACGGCAGCTCGTCCTGATTGAGCTGACCGTCCCGTATGAGTCGCGTTTGGACGAAAATCACACGTATAAGCTCGCGAAATACGGTGATTTAGCAGCATAAGGAGAGACGAGGCGTACACAGTACGTGTCTTTGCCGTCGAAGTGGGAGCGAGAGGTCTCGTCTCCACTTCACTCTACAATATGGTTAAAGAACTAGGATTGCGTGGTAATGAACGGAAACGGACACTGAAACGGCTGGGCGAGGTTGTTGAGAGGGCCTCGAGCTGGCTTTGGACGCAACGAAACAACGTAGGGGACGGGCCTCGGTGAGCTGGTCCGGGTGTCTAGTGGAAAAGGGTTTCTCATCCTCTGAAAGTCCATCGTATCCGAATTGTCTGCCAGTGTTTCTCTGCCACCTGCTAATAAAGTCTAACATGTGTCTGGTATACCAATTGTAAGCTTGTCGCTCGGTCGTCAAGGTATGCAGACTGCTCTAATTATGCTACCGTGACGACTTTTTATCTCACAGTACCTTCTGCAAATGACCAAGTCGTCTTGTCCCAAAGAAAACACCATCCGGTAATTTCGTGCAGCAGTGAAACCAGCCCTGAGCTTCATGAACTCAGGTGGGTCCACTCTATGAAAACGTCTAGGAGCTCGTGGGCCGAAACGTTTGTCGACGAGGGATAACTTCTACTGATGACTGGTAGATCCCTGGTGTACATGCTCCCCGTGGAGTTTATTCCTATTGTTGTTTTACTCGGTGATAACGGCTTTGATGCGAGGGTTACGTGGTATAGGGTTAGTCTGTCCCCTCCCCCCCACTTCTCCCCAAACACTCCCCCCCCTCCCTTTTATGATTAGAAGTGGCATGTAGCGGCTGAAATATTCGCTTACCCTTTGCCAAAGTTTACTATTTATTAACTCTTTACTAACTGTCGGCATCTGTGGTTTAGGCTTTGTGAACGAGCTTTGTAATGCCGGGGTGCCGGGTTCGATCCCAGATGCGGGCTTTCCGCCTCGAGTTGGTATCGACAGTGGTATCGAGAAGCTGACCAGTCAGAAAGAAATGGCAAACTACTGGAGGTAAATTTGCCTAGTAAAACCACAACAGCTAAATAAAAATGCTGGGGTTGGTTCTACGATGTCCTGTAAAGGATACACAACTAACTTTTACCTTTACTAACTATGACACATATGCCACTAAGTTAACATCTAAATCATAGAGAACAGAACGATGCCTGCAGTCTTCCGGAAATTGTAATTTATAAAAACTACCAGTTAATAGTACTGTATTGCTAATCAAGCGGCGCACGCATACTCTCAACTGCGAAGCGATCAGGAAAATATCCCGGTATACCCTTTCTAGTGTAATCGTTGTCTACTAATTTTTACATATGGGAATTGATCATGTCTCGCCACTTGAGTTATTGGTTGATTTATTTCTTGTTATTGGTTAGATGTTATATACATGCGGAAAAGTTAAAAAAATAATTCAATGAACTTTCGGGCATTTGGTGAGACATGATTCAATTTCAAAGACTTTACTTCTGGGAACATTGGAGGGTGGTCGAAGAAGAGGATGACAAAGAAGAAACTAGAATGACAACATTAAGAAATAGACGGGACTAAATTATTACGCACTTTTTCACCAAGCGAAAGAGGGCGGGTTTTTTTTTGCCAGTGCTTCCGTCGATACACCTACATGACCCTACCGGGTAAAGGGTTATGTTATTTGTTAGTCAGTTAGTTCCACGACAATCTCCCCACAGACCGGTCATATACACACTAATTCACTTCTGATTGGTAGACCTGTAATCACCCGACCATCGCACACTGCTACAGGGGTGTTCGGCAATGCCGTTGATATCGCGTATCCTATATTTAAGCACGCCAACGCTTTTAACACTACAAAATTTCTTTAGAAACTGGGTTTAACACACAACCCTCCCCCTCTCCCCCAGAGAGTGCTGCAGCCTATATCACAGGCATTCTCTTTCTCATTCTCAGGAGAAAAACGTAAATGCAAGACAAGCCAGAAAAGAAAGAAACATTGCGTCAACCTGTAAACTCCTCCTCCCCCACCCCCACTCCCCCCCCCCCCCGGGACAGCAAACAAGTCAACAAATTTATATATGGAACGTGACCTAGTTTTGGGAAGATGATCGTGGAACTGACCGGTTGGTCTGCAATCAATCCTCCCCTCCCCCATCCTGTGTTTCCCCACTTTACCTTTATTTTCGCTTGGTGCATGCGCGAAAGCCACGTCCACCTGCCGAAGCTTCTCCAGAATGGCCATGTAGTTAATATCACAACTGACTCCAGCTTTAACTACTGAGAAATTTAAAAATTTTGCCATTTCCTGCATTTGGCTATCTGTTAAATTAACAGTGTACAACTTGGCTTCTTTGAGCACACAGTTCAAGTACTGCTCTGTTGATGTACAAACGGACTTGTTAGCTTTGATGTTTTTAGTGAGCTCATCCAAGCATTCTCCAGGGTTCTGAGCACGAACTTCGAGAATGGCTGAAAGAAGGATAACAAGAACGATTTAGTTCATGTAATGAAAAAAGGAGGCTAAGTTTTTTTTTTTCACTTAGAAAAACCGAAAAAAAAAGAAAAAATCAAGATGTTTAGAAAAACTTTTAGTGTCGTGTTAATTTAGGTTACCTAAAGCACCCGGTAACTACACACTTGAACAGTTAATAGAAAAGAACATTGAATACAATAAGAACTTATTTGTGGCATTCGTAGACCAGGAGAAGGCATTTGACAGAGTCGACAGACAATTATTATGGAAAGTAATGGCAAGATATGGAGTAAACGAACACCTCATCGAAGTGTGCAAAAGTTTATACAGGGATTGTAGAAGTGTAGTTAGAATAAATCAGGGAACATCTCATCCGTTCTTAGTGACATCTGGAGTAAGACAGGGGTGTGTCTTATCACCACTGCTGTTTATCACCTACATCGACAGTATATGCAAGAATGCCAAGCCCATGAATGTAGATCTTAGTAAGATCAACGAATTACTCTTTGCAGATGACCAGGCCTTGATAGCAGATACAGCCATGAAATTGCAACAACATCTAACATCCATGAATGAAGAATGTAAAACAAATAATATGAGAATCAACACTGAAAAGACAGAAGTAATGTCAATAGGAAAAAAGAAGACAGATCTAAACATAGCAATAGAATACAAAGGCATTAAACAGGCATCTGAGTTTAAATATCTGGGAACTACATTTACCGAAGATGGGAAATTGGATAAAGAAATTGACATTAGATGCAGTAAAGCAAACCAAGTATTGGGACAGCTAGCACCCCTCTTACAACATAAGACAATCCCAATCAGCACAAAGAGACATCTTATTCAAAGCATATTTATTCCAACTCTGTGCTACCAGTGCCAGACATGATCACTCACAACAAACCATAAAAGAAAATTAGTAACCAAGGAAATGAGATGTCTGAGAAGGGCTGTACGAGTGACCATAAGAGATACGATCAGGAATGAGATCATAAGAGATTAAGTCGGCACAGAACCAATTCTGGATTACATACAAAGACAGCAAGTGAAATGGTTTGCCCACTTAGAGAGAATGCCTTGTGACACCATACCATACAAAGCATACATGGAAAGAGAAGAAGGACGTAGAGCACGGGGTAGACCAAGAACAAGATGGAAGGATAACATCAGAGAAACTCTACAACAGCACGATGTGCCTATGGTCGAGGCAGCCAGAAGAGCTAGAAACAGAACCTTATATCCCCCTCGACACCCACAGCTGTAAAAGAGGAAGTGAAGAAGAAGAAGAAGAAGAAAGGACCCTGTTCCACGCCTTTAGGCGTATCGGGCATATAGGGCTAGACCTATATTTTATAGACCAATCGGTACTCCCTGAATGTGCGGTCAGCATCATGCCGGTCGCCTTTACTTCACAGAACATTCCCTGGTACCCACTCAAGGCCGGACCTACCTAGCAGCCAAGGTCATTTTTGAAAAATGTCCAGCCCAGTTCGGATTCGAAATTGCGACCTTCAGATCCGGAGGTGAGTATCTTGCCACTATACCACAAAGGACCCCTTTAGGTTAGATAGTAAGGTACGACTGTGTTTGTTCAGTACGAGTTGGAGCCCCGTGTGGGTTTTCGTACCACTCACTCAGAAGAAAAAAATGGGAAGCTGCTATCATGTTGCTTCAGGCCAGCTAGACAGATAATTTGGTCCGTACTGTTTTCCCACAAAGAAATGCATATTCAGTTTAGGCCTCAATGACCAAACTGCAGTGATAGATATTTGATGTATATTCGCTAAAGAATCAACTCGGAATTCTTCTTTTGTCAGCTTGCACTATAATTGGTCTATGTTGATACACCACTACAATTATGTTATCTCCGCTTATCGTTGACTTTCAGGCTTCATTGAGGTATAGTTGGATTTGTTATTTTAATATCTTTATAGCTGCGAAGTTATTATAATAGTGCAAAGCATTGAACTAAACTCATTACTTTACATTGGATTTATAGACTATGAAAAAGCATTTGACAGCATTGATAGGGAATCTCTCTGGAAATTGATGGGACACTGAAATCCCACAGAACATTATTAACTTAGTAAAGGCAACATGTAAAGACATGAGTTCTTCATGAGGGAAAGCTAACAGATGCATTTAAAATAAAAACAGGTGTGAGGCAGGGATGTCTTTTGTCGCCTCTCTTATTTTTACTGGCTATAGACTGGATTATGAAAACAGTAGCTGCTAACACCAAGAATGGAATTCAGTGGACCCCTACAAAACAGCTTGATGATCTGGACTTCGCTGATGATAGTGCTCTTCTGTCTCATTCACAAAATCAGAAGCAAGATAAATTAAATATACTTAATGCAAGATCACAGCAGCTTGGCTGAAAATCCTTAAAGGAAAGACAAAGATAATGAAAATAAATCAGGCAAATAGTAATGTGGTTTCTCTTAATGGCACCCCACTTCAAGACCTATTTGGGCAGTAATGTAGATAAAGATAGAGGAACTGATAGAGACATTAAAATAAGAATACAAAATTCAAGAGCGGCTTTCATAGAACTAGGGAATTTGTGGAGGTCTAAAGAAATTACAAGAAATACTTAACTAAACATTTTTAATTGTAATGTCAAATCAGTACTATTTTATGGGGCGGAAACATGGAGAACAACTAAGACAATTACTGATAAATTACATTCATTAACTGGTGCCTGCGGAGAATAGATGGAATTAAATTGTATGATAGAATAACTAATATAGAACTTCGGTAGAGAACTAAAAATCTCCAGTGGACCAAGAGGTGAGGAAAACACGCTGGCGTTGGATAGGACACACACTGAGAAAACAGGAAAACAGCATAACTAGAAGGTCTTTGCATTGAAATCCACAGGGGCATAGGAATACAGGAAGGCCAAAAAACACATAGAGAAGAGAGCTGGAGAATTAAGTTAGAAAGACGGGGAGGACATGGGAAAAGCTCCATGCAATGGCGAAAGATAGAACGACTTAGCGTGAGTTGGTTGAGGACCTATGCTCCATTGGTGGGATAGAAAGGCAGAAAAAGAAGAAAAGCTGCGATGGTTTCTTTATTAAAACCAAATATGTAGAACTTCACTAGCATCCCTAACTTGCAGCTTTTTTGCCTGTTCGCCAGCTATTCTTTTACTACTATTGCTGCTGTTACTGAGACTGTTGCTATTGCTTCTACTTCTACTTATATTACTGCTACTGCTGCTGCTACCATCACTATTACTTAAACAACATAAGAAACAACAGCTGCAACCACTACAACCACCATCACGATGACCGCTTCTACTAGAACTACAAAAGCTACTGCTGTTGCTGCTTCTAATACAAGTATTATTACTTCTACTACTACTACTACTACTACTACTACTACTACTACTACTACTACTACTACTACTATTACTACTACTACTACTACTACTACTACTACTACTACTACTACTACTAATACTACTATTACTACGATTGCTACTACTACTACTACTACTACTACTACTACTACTACTACTACTACTACTACTACTACTATAACTACTACTACTACTACTACTACTACTACTACTACTACTACTACTACTACTACTACTACTACTACTAATACAACTACTAGTACTTCTACTACCACTACAACTACTAGTACTTCTACTACTACTACTACTACTACTACTACTACTACGACTACTACTACTACTACTAATACTACTACTATTACTAATACTACTATTACTACGATTGCTACTACTACTACTACTAGAGATAACGATCTCCAATGTAAACAAAGTCAAAACGAAAGTTGCGCAGTTTGGTGCGCAGAGGGATCGGCGGACTCGTGAAAATGTTTTGTTTCACAACGAATTATAAATTAATTTTTTTGATTGCGATTCTAGCAGTTCAGAATTGATGACATGCGCTCTTCGTCATTCAAAAGAGGGTACTCTATCAAACGACGCCTAAATTGAATAGCGGTCTTTATTGAGCGTAATAAATTTCACTATTTGTCATATGCCAAGTAAATTTCTTTAATATCTCCTTTTTAAAGTGAACTTAAATACTATTAAATGACATTTTTAGATTCTGTGTCCATTTTTACGTAAGGATGGGCAGTTTTGCTGGAATCTGTACTTCATAAGATATACAGTTTCAATTTCTTCCCAGTCACTTCTTAGAGCTAAATCGGAGATTTCTCAAAATGGCTACCGCGTGGCCTAAACGAACTGTTTATCTCAGATTAATTAATCTAGTTATTTATAAAAACAGTTCAAAAAATAATGCAAGTTTTATTTGTATTAATAATTTACCTTTCTTTAACTTCAATTTCACATGAGTTTTAATAAATTTAAATACCTGAAAATGATGTTTTAGCACGTTTTTAACATGGACTATTTCTAGGGTATTTTTGCGTTGAAAATGGACACAGGCAGTGGTTTTAAACATTTTATATTAATAGTTTTAAATCAAATTAAAGTAGTTATTAAATCATTTTTTGAATCTTTAGCCATTATAGCATTTTTTAAGCCATAACCTATCATTTGGCATGAATCATAGTTCCTGTTTGAAGCCTTTTTGCCTGTTGACCCCCACTCCCCGCACCCAGACTGACATTTTGGACGCAGACAGTGGTTTCAATATTTTTTATTATACTTTTAAATGAACATAAAGTAGTTATTTAATCATTTTTTGAATCTTTAGCCATTATAGCATTTTTTAAGCCATAACCTATCATTTGGCATGAATCATAGTTCCTGTTTGAAGCCTTTTTACCTGTTGACCCCCACTCCCCGCACCCAGACTGACATTTTAAAAAAAATGTCTGCCACACATTTCTGCACTATGATTTTGTGGTGCATATTTATTGTCTTAAATAGTATAAATAACAGTTATTATTTATGATTGATACTGTTTTAAAATTGAAGTATTGACTTATAGATGATGATTTAGAAAGTTGATTAATAAAATTAATAATAATATATTATATTATTTTCAAGTGAATAAATTCACTTACTTACAACTTATGATTAATAATATTTAATCACAGATCACGTAGGACATAGATAAGTTAATAAAATATAATGTAATTTTTCCTCTTACCTTATGAAATGCTGCTCCATGAAAACACAACATAAATCCGAAGCGAATTACATCTCCATGAAAACACAACATAAATTCAAAGCGAATTACAAAGGAGCTTATTTAATAATTTTACTCCATGAAAAACATAGCACTGAGTCACAAATCGGGCATGAGCGGTTACCTTGGATTATTTTGAACAAGTAAATAAAATATCAAGCAGTGACTAGTTAAGAAGAAGAGGGGAATAATGTGGTGAATTGTCTCATCATCAATAAAATGAAAGAATAACTCGCAAAGATTGAAAAAGGGATTATGTTAAATCAGTAAGAGGGGCGCTCATTTTCACTTGGTTATAAAACAATATAGGAATATAGGGGTCTCCGTATCAAAGTGGTCAAGCCGTTAACCTCGCGCTCGGAAGATTGTTGTACGTTCATTTACAACTGCATTGTTCGACTCGAAAATGCATTTTTTTGGTTAGCGGAGACCTCTGAGGGCTGTTGCTGGAGCTACGGTTTCCAGGCTTTGTGCTAAGCTCTCGGCATGCGTTATTTGTTCAGTATTGTGGAGAAAGACAAAGCCATATAAAATCAGTAATGATGCAATGAAGTCAATCCACTCGCTATTAAATATTTTTTAAACAGTGGAATAAAGCAAATTTCGGTCAGATGTATGCACACACACAAACATACACACACACACAAATGAGAGTGCGAGAAAAATCATTTTTCAACAAATAGAAAAAGATGCATCATAACAGGAAGAATAGATATAAAAGTATATATATATATATATATATATTACAGTATAAGTCTTGCAAGACTCACTGGATAATTAATAATAATTAATTCATAAGGTATTTAATGAATACTGATAAATTTACTCATTTTTATGTTATTTAGGTTTGCATCACATCATATTTTTAAAAAGGCAACAACTTTAGTTAGAGCTTGCTGTCCTGAAAGCAATGACATATGGTTGCTAAGGGGTTCAGCAAAAAACTTGAGAGTTATTGACATTAAACATGATACATTTAGGTCCAGTTTTCACTTGGGAACACGCCGCCATCTTGTTTCTGTGTTTTCCATTATAATTTTTTGAGGGTACTTTCCGTCACTGAAATGGCAATATCTCCGCTTAGAATTGACATACAGACTTCATTGAGGTACCGTTGGACTCAGTTTTTCAACCTCTATTCAGCTGTCTTGGTTTAAAAGTAAAAAACCTAAAATAAAAATTTTGACTAAAATCCCTACTACTACTACTACTACTACTACTACTACTACTACTACTACTACTACTACTACTATTACTAATACTACTATTACTACGATTGCTACTACTACTACTACTACTACTACTACTACTACTACTACTACTACTACTATTACTTATACTACTATTACTACGATTGCTACTACTACTACTACTACTACTACTACTACTACTACTACTACTACTATTATTACTAATACTACTATTACTACGATTGCTACTACTACTACTACTGCTACTGCTGATGCTGCTGCTACTGCTACTACTGTTGGAACCACCACCACGGCTATTCTGCTGCTGCTACAACAACAATTTTAACAACAACTACTACTACTTCTACAACAACAACAACAACAAACACAATTACTGCTCACCCAGTAAACAAATTAGCCCAACGATCACCGGCACCCTGCCCATCTTATCATGCTGTGGGTGACCATCTGTCAGGAAAATGAGGCCAGCCACTGAGAGGATGTATCTGCCGACTTATTCCAAATTACATTTGCCTGATTCTTTAGGAAACAAAATAAAACAAAGGACAGCTTGCAAGTTTTATCATCTACTAAAATTGATTTTGATGTCCAAGTTTCTTGATGGAATTATTCCCTGACTACAGTGGTCAACGTTTGTAACAAAGTTTTTATGAAATAACGTTTTGTGGTGCGTTTCCGAATTCCCGATGCCTGACATTTGCGTCAAAAGAGTGGTGTGTAGCAATTAGTTAGATAGTTAGTTAGTTAGTTAGTTAGTTGGGTTATCATCATTGCACTCCGGACATGTCCATAGGTGCTCAGATCCTCCCCTCAGTATGAACCCCAACGTCCGATGGCTAATAGTACCAGTTCTATGTTGATTAACAAGTTTTCTGACGTGTCCGGTGTGCGTCTCGTTTTTTGCTGTGCCGATCTTAATTCCCACGTCTGCCATTCAGGCGAGTGATGTTGATTCACTGCCACCAAAGTTCTCTATCCTTCCCATTTCTCTGAGGGCATTGATAATATCAGCATGATCCATAGGCCGACCGTCGGTAGTGATAGCGGATCCAGCCAACCTGTCAGCTCTTTCATTTCCATCGACGCCTGCGAATCCCGGAACAAAAATAAAGGTGACTTCTCGCACAGTGGACTTCTGAATTGATTCAAGCCATTGTCTTCGCACTGAACCTGCCTGAGTCTTTTCCCCCCAAATAATATTACCGAAGTATGACGTATCTCAGCAATATAAATAATAAAAAAAATGAGCAGGCAGCTAGACTGGCCGGTTCTGCACCACTTGGTGGTGAATTGATGTATGACAAGCTAGATGTTGTGAGCACCCTTAGGGATCGAGTGAATAGTGCGGAGACACAAAAAGATCATTACAGTCTGATGAGAATGGCGCTGCGATGGGTTACCAGGGGATCTGACCGACGCTCAACACTGAAGGGGAAGGCGAGACGGGTGTACAAAGAGACAGTTACTGATGCCATCGGAATTGGAGCTCTAGGCATCGTGTCCGTCTCGAGTGCCAGAGGTTCCGGGTTCAATCTCAGGTAAAGACTGGTATTTTTTTCACATGGTTTTGAACTTCTAGTAACTCCCCCCTGGTCTCTGGGTAGTGAGATCGGACGCCAGTGTGTATTGTTAAGCGGGTTAAAAATTCCCTTGGCATTTGGACATCGAAAAATAGTAGTCTAGGGGCGCTACCAGTGCAAAATTGTGAGTCAAAAATCTACCCAAAGCATTTCAGGATCCTCGCTGGTGCTACAGAGCCTGTGCACTGTGATGCGCTTCTTCAGACTCAGACTTGAGTTAGAAGAAGAACGGAGCACTTATGGGTTACTATCCGTTTGCTATGACGTTGATCCGTTGTTCAAACCTCAAACTTCTAAGCAAACAGTTTCAAACAGATAATTTCTATGCATAGTTTAAAGGGAACTTGGGAACATACAAAATTATTAGTGAGTGGCCTCAAGGAAAATGAAGCCTCCATCTTGCCTGGAAGATGTTCTCGTAAGCAAACGCGGCCAGCATGGTGTTCCCACATCACACACTGAGTGTTCATTTGTGTTTTAGTATGGGTGTAGCAATATTTGTTCAATGGGGTAAACATGAATCTTTCCTTGGAGACGTTTACCTAATAACTTGTGCAAATATTGACACTTCACAAATTTGTGAACGCACTGTAGGATAAAGAAAGGACATCCTTCCTCGAAATATTACACAAGTGCACTATTTTGGTTTTTCAAGAACGGTCGGTGTTTCAATAAACAAACACTGCAGACAAGGTATATAAAGTGTGTCATGCTAAATGAATCGGTACTGCTGTTTCATTAAAAAAAAAAAAAAACCTGGGGTGTCGGATATATTAACTTTATATCTGGGAGCAGTCTCTCTTGGTGTAAGTGTCTTATCCGGACGTACGACTTACTGACAGTAGAGGAAAATGGGCAGACTGTTGGTTGTTCTTGTACTGTCTGGTCTCCGTGGTGAGTCGTATTTCTAGTAGGTGTAGCAGCAGTGTTAGCAGCAGCAACAGTAGTGGCAGCAGCAGCAGCAGTATAAGGAATAGAAATAGTGATACAGTTAGGAATATAGGCCATATTAGAATTAGTAGTATTAGTAGCAGAATTAGTAGTACTAGTAGTACTAGTAGTACTAGTAGTAGTAGTGATAACAGAGATTGCGCCTGCAGTAGTCATAGCAGCAGTTAAGCTGTAGTATTAGTAGTAGTAGTAGCAGCAGCAGGAGCAGTATTAGTAATAATAGTGGCAGTAAAAGAAGTGGAAATAGTTATAGAAGTGATATAAATTTGATTATTGAACGTCGCAAGAGAAGAAGAAGAAGAAGAAGAAGAAGAAGAAGAAGAAGAAGAAGAAGAAGAAGAAGAAGAAAAAGAAGAAGAAGAAGAAGAAGAAAAAGAAGAAGAAGATGATGAAGAAGAAGAAGAAGAATAAATGATGATTATGATGAAGGGGGTAATAAATATATGGCCATGTTGACACTACACTGGATACATTAATTTATCACTTCTTCTTCTTATTCTCTTTCTCCTATACTACATCGGGTAAATAAGGATCTGCTTTGTGCTATTGTAGTCGCCATGACAATAGACACATCTCGTTGTTGTAGAGTTTCTCTGATGTTATCGTTCCATTAGTTCTTGGTCTACCTTGTGGTCTGCCTCCTGCGTCTCTTTTGGTGAATGCCGTGTATGTTATAGCGCCCAAGTGCATTCTCTCTACTTAGGCAAACCACTTGATTTGTTGTCTTCGTATGTAATTTAGAACGGGTTGTCTGGCAATTGTTTATTTGATGACCTCATTGCTAATCGCATCTCTTCTGGTCACTCCTGCAGCTATTCTCCGACATCTCATTACAATGGTTACTAACTTTTCACTTTGGTTCGGTGTGAGCGAAGATGTCTGGCACCGGTAGCATAGAGTGGGGATGCATATGGGCACAGTCCATCCCTGCAGCAAGGCGGAGAGGAAGGCCAGTCCTGACTCACAAGTCTTGTTCTTCAAGAGGCTGCTTAGTGTGTTACGTTCAACCATACCAGGACAGCACACTGAACGATAAACACCTGGTGACACAAAGTGCCACCATTCGGGTAAAAATCCTAAGGCACAAATCCTCGAAACCCTGTTCGACCATTGGCTTATAATAGAGTCCCTGACAACAACTAGAGTCTACCTTTAGAATTACAAGAATCTGCGTCCCATTGTGGGGGGGGGGGGGGGGGGGAGAGCTCCCATTCTGTAATTATAGATAACCTATTTCCGGCAAACGAAAGAAGAAGAGGAAGAAAAAAGCAACCCTAATTCCCCCATACTATAGGATCTTCCACGGAATTCCCTAGGAATTCCCTATCAAACCTTACTGCCCTAGTGATGGGGCGAAAAGGCTGAAAAGAACCAGTTTCAGTTTGTTAATAAAATCACTGCTTATAGTATACCACCCCTCCCCCCCCCCCCCAAATATGATGCAATTTGTAATGCGCCCATTACTGTGTATTTTATTACCACATCATAAATGATCACACAAGGCATCTTGATATTGATAATGTTTTTGGCTGGTGTATTTACGTAACCTTTGCCTAGCTTGCCTGAATAAACAATATCGTTCTTTTCCTTCCAGTTTTTCTCGGAGCTTCAGTCAACAGGTAAGTGGCTAACAGTGGTTGTCTCCCCTCATTATTGTCCTTCACTTCTTAGCTTAGAGACAAAACGAAACTTGTTTATTTACATTTAAAAAACTTATAATTATTAACACGTTAAATGTCTTTTAAAAAAAAACTGACATTGTCTCTTAAGTCGAGCCAGCCTTGAGTGGGTACCAGCTGCTATCCTGGGAAGGTAAAGGCTCCCAGCGTGACGCTGACCACATCACCCACCAAGTGCCGATTGGTATATAAAAATATATGTCGAGCCCTATATTCCAAACACGCTTAAAGGCTTTGAAAAGGGTCTTAAAAAACAAACAAACCTGTTCAGCTGTAAGCGTAGACATATTAAGGCACAGCTAAGTTTAAACCTGCCGTCTAATGTGAAGGAGCGATGATTGTATTAAGTAAGAGGCAGCAACGAAATTTAGGCCAATATAAAAGTTTGAGCGTTTTGAACAAAGCTGCGGCAACTGTGAACGAGAACTGCTATTTTAAAAGTTGGCTGTTATGCTTTTACTGTATGTAAGTACTCTCTTGCTCCGTGTTTCTGTGTTGTGTATGCAAAAGTAGAGGTAGTGTCGGGAGATGTGAACCAGTGTCATTGCATACGGCTATAAACCATAAGTGCTCCGCCACCAGCACGGACAGCTGATAAGAAACAGTAAGCCTGTGTCGCCGTCCACACGCAACTCCGTAGCAACAGCGACGTTCCTCCATTTACCACAGAGTTTTAACTCTGGTACCCATTTCCCAGAAACTGGGTGAACCCCGGGAGCCGTCCGGCTTCAAACATCGGCCGTGGGCTGCAGCGAGTCGCGGCTGGAGTTGAAAGCGAGTCTCCTCTCGACTGCGCTAACGCGGCCCCTTTGTGTCCGTTTTGCATTGTTATAGCGACAGCAACTCTAAGTTTGCAGTAGGCGTGTGCCTTTTATGAAAAGACCAGGTGCAGAAAAAGGGAAATTTGACCAAAGCGCAAAAGCTGAACGTCGATATCTAATGACGAGGAGTCGTATATCTAATGACGTGGAGTCGAACATCTAATGACGTGAAGTCGAACATCTAATGACGTGGAGTCGTACATCTAATGACGTGGAGTCGTACATCTAATGACGAGGAGTCGTACATCTAATGACAAGGAGTCGTACATCTAATGAGGAGGAGTCGTACATCTAATGACGTGGAGTCGTACATCTAATGACAAGGAGTCGTACATCTAATGAGGAGGAGTCGTACATCTAATGACGTGGAGTCGTACATCTAATGACGTGGAG